AATAACCCCCTATCCTAGGACATACTGAATTCTAATAAGCCACATGCATTCTTTTCTCACCTATTTCACTGTAAATCTAGACCTTTCTCACTAATTTGGTCAAAACTGAGACCATGACTCCTCAAGATGGTAAATGTAGCTTTGGAGAATTCAGCAGTAGGTCAGAAATAACATACTTGGGTGACACAACGTGTTCAACTACTACAAATTCACTAGGTAGAACCATATTTGTTCAAAAATATGAGCGGGTCATTTTTACTTTGCCAACAAAGGCATAATCAATTCTCCTGCGGCTGGCATAAAACTAGCAACCATTTTTTGTTTTCTGATTAATTACAAAAAATTGTCATCATTTAGTTATACTCGATCCAGATAAAACTTACCGCTAGGTGATCTACAGCCCTTAAGGAAACAATCATTTCAGCCCTCATTTCTTTCATTTCTCACATCTCCTTGCAATCTGGTGTGATATAAACTCTAAGAGACCCATTATAACAATAGTTTCTCCAGATTCTACCTTACCGGAAGCCATCAAAATTTAGCAAACAATTGCCAAACAAAAAGCAAACCAAACATGACTGTGAAGACCCTTCACCTTTCCTCCCCACTCCCTAAATTTAAGAGGTACTGATCTTGTAAAAACTGATAGTGCAGTCAAAGTTCTCGATTCCTATCAAGCAGTTTTCTGATATCCTGAAGTATTTGTTTGGACTCTTTCTTGTGTTACTACTTAAAAGCCAGGTCTAGTCTAACCTGGTCACCAGGAGTGTCTCTGGAGTCAGTAGAGAGAAACAGGTACCTCCAGAGCAGACTTCACCCTCTAGACACTTCTTTTAGGATGGGACAAATCACCCTCTGGTGGTGCGTTTCTCTCATCACGCTCATTAGAGGGGATGAACACAGTTTGCTTGAGTGGATATCTCCTTTCTGGATGACTGAAGTTTGGTTACATGGATCCCAGTCTTTGGTACCTAAAGGCTATGAAGATTAGTGGTGGTAAAGCAGAAAACAGTGTGTAGACTTCATTGTGTTTCAAATATCTAGAATGCCTGGACTGCCTGTTTTTCCCCAGTGTAAATAGCATAACTGCTGGGCCCTAATAAATGAAAACGTTATGACAAAGCCACCCTACTCACCCCTTTCCTCCCCTCCACGCCTTTTACAAGACCCTTATACAGATTTAAGTAGTGCTCTGCTTAAGGAAGCAAATGCTGAAAGATGCTGAATACCTGCAACTTTGATACGACTCACCAGGTTAAACTCCAAGATCCTTATACTGTTTATCCATGCTAATTCTAGCGTGCCAGATGCTGAGGAGTGCTGAATGGCTGCTCAGTGGGAGTTGCGGTTGCTCAGCACCTCCAAAGAATTGGCGTGTAAACTCCAGCCTGGACTTTGCTTATGGGAAAAGTAAATCCAACCATCAGTCATGCAGGGTGTGCTTCCCTCCCCGCTTCATGAGCTGGCCTGGTGAAAATTCCTGGTGCTTATTGAAAGCATCATCTGATGTCACTCAACACCACAGGGGAAAATATAAATCAAAGTGTAAGTATTCAGCACTCTCTCAGCATTGGCCTAATGGAATTAATGTAATCTGAGGTAAACGCTTCAGTTATTCCTTATTACTGTTAGGGACCCAAATCAAGGGTTGGGACTTGTTATTCTAGGTAATGTGAGAAAACAAGCCCTACCCATGAGATCTCCAAGACGAAGATAAAGCTTAGGTAGAAGCTTAACAACAGTTACCTAATAGCAATGAAGAGACACAATGAAGTGTTGAATCTGAACCATCTGAAAGGCATGTGCCAAGGGCTCTGCCGTGCTCAGCAGAAAACTTTTCTCTGGCAGCAGAGTAGGGCTGCGGTAACAGGGAGAGCAAGGTGATCCGGGGTGAGATTGCAAGCACCTATAGAGGGGTCGGGTGCCCGAGTCCTGCTGACACTGAGGGAACCTACTTCTGCTTTCTGAATCACCTCCTGGTTCAAAAAAGTTGTTTTCTGTGAAAGTCTACAGCTGAATTCTTTGTCTCAGACAGCGCAAGCACACTGTGTAACTCCGAATTGTGTGGACTGCCATTGGAAGGGGGGAACAGACTTAATAATGTGGAGAGGGTTGCTCCTTGCACCTTTTGATGGTCTCTTGCCTCCCATGAGGATAGCATACCTCAGCCACTGTGTGACTCAGACTGCAAATACTAAAGTGTCAAAGGTGTGAAAACACAAGTCTAAAAGCCAAGGAATGTCTCTATTGTCAGTTCTATGCTTGCTTCACTCCCGGCTGGGTGTGATGGCAAATGATTGCTCTTGGAAAGGCACATCGAGGCATTGCAGACTGGCAGCCTGCTGAGTCCAGCGAGGTGCAGGGAGTAAATGCTTCATCCAGCCAAACCCAGTGGGAATATGCTGGAGCCCCGACATGGTTTTGCTGACACAGGAAGATGTCATCACAGCAGAATATGAAGGAGTTAACACATTATGAAATACAGTTTTGGCAGTGATGCAGACAAAGATTGTTTTGTTTGAAATGCAGTACCAGCAGTGTTGGTTAACAAGGTAATGCAGTCACCTGGCCAGTCTCAGTCATTACACTGTGTTATTTCTTCTAACATGTTGGGTCCAAATCCTATGAAACAAGCCACTTAACTTTAGGCCCATAGATAGTTCTTTGCTTCAAAGTGAAGCTTAGTTTAACGTATATGTTCAGATAATGGCTGGTTGAAATAGCAAGAGGAAGTGCTTGCACAGGAAGAGAAATTGCAAGGTGACAGTGTGGTTTTAAGTAAAAAAGAATAAAACCACAGGAAATTCTTTTTTAAACCTCTTCCCAGTCCTATTCCCTTGCAGAGTGAGGAGAAGCAAGGAGGGCTGTCCCACGCCTGCTTACACTCACTGCTGAGGGCTCGGTGCACAAAATTGCACAACCAATTTCAAAATGTCTTTTTGCTAGTCCAGGCATTCTGGCTGTCCTTCCAAATCTAAAAGGCAAAATTTTCAACATCACAAAGGACTAATAAACCACCTACACTCCTGCATCTACCGAGAACAAGAGAGCGCAGAATCCCTTACGACTCAGAAAGTCGAGCCATGTATTTACTGCTGATACCTGACTTTTGTAATCGGGTTGAAAGGTTTGCATTCAGCACTTTCCTGGGCTGAGAGGCACATCTTCTATAATCAGGATTCAATTAGCTACCTGCCTTTTCAGCTGAAGATCTGGCCCCGTGGGCCCGATTCTTTACAATACTTTTGCATAAGCCTCAGAGACAACCCTTCTCACCAGCATTGCTGAAAATGGACTTTTGTATTCAAGTAGGCAGCTGTTTCTCCCAGATTTTTCACCATGCTTATGCTCTCATTAAAGTACATTATCAAGTTAGCAAGCAAAGCCTATGTTCTTCTGCAAGATCCTTGTCCATAAAAATCCTTTCTGAGCCCTGTATTTTGCAGTGAGTAACAGTGAGTGCCTTGATTTGAAAATGTGAATCTAAGTCAAAGACTGCATTTCAAATATTAAAGCAGGTTCTCAGGTAGTATTTCACTGGAACAAGTAGGGCTATTCCAGCCTCGAGTAACTGGGGATCTGGGTCTAAAGAAGGAGCTACGAACTTTAATTAGATATAAATAAAGAAATAGGGAGCTACTTTTTTCATACCCCCATGCTGTCTTGTCTGTTGGTGTCATGACACTCAAATAGGTAGTAACTGGAATGAAGCCCAGTAGCCAATTTATAGTTAACATACCATTAGTTCTGACTAATTCCTGTGGTACACTTTAACATTAAGCACTTAGAAAAATGCTTAGGAAAACCATCCACCCCATGCTTCAGTTTCTCACAATCATCCCTGCTTCATTGTTTGTTCCTGGATATGTCTGTTAGCATGACTGTTTCGGTAACTTTCCATTTTAGGACAGTATTATAAATGATTGAGACACGTTAAAATTCAGAGGACGCTGCTCTGTCGTTTTCCCTCTGTCGAGTAGTATCTTGACATCAAATAGTTCTCCTGAGATCATGCTGAACTTCCCAAAGTAAGGTGAAACCCTGCACAGAGGAGGCTGGCAGTATTGGCTATTTTAATTTTAAGAATGTACAATAATATATGTGCATATCTAGGAATATAGAGAGGGAAAAAAATCCTGTATACTGCACGTTAAATTGTGATTTTAATGCTGAAGACACAAGCGCCCTAATCATCCATTTTTTGTATATTTTATCTTTAATAGGATTTCTGATACTATCACAAAGCTGGTCTTCATTCTCTGCCAAAGGGATCTGAAACCACTGGAACTAGTAAAAATATTTCCGTATATCATACTGGCCTGTTAAATATTCAGCTAATTTTAAAAATAATGATAATTCCTGTGATTAGCAGCTACAGCATATCATGTCCAGCTTCCTTTTTTTACTGTAAGCGTAGGATACCTGTGCAAACAAGAGCAGAATTTGGCCTGGGATATAAGCAGAAGCTTCTATCTCTGTATTTCTTTCCTGTTCTTGCGCTGAGTGAAATTGAAGTGAAATAAATAATAAAAGACTTTAAAGAGAAAAAAAACCAACACAACACCACATCCAAGGCAGATTTCATGACAGCAGAACGAGTATCATTTTGAGTGGCAATGCACTGACAATAACTTTTGGCTTTGGTCCACATCAATCTGGAGGCCCAGCTACACAAGCCAAGCTGGCTCAGGATCGCTTCTAAACAGGCAGTTATCACCTTTGGTGCGATGATATTCCAGAGGTCCAAAACAGGACTAAGCCCTTTGCACAGGGGTGACACGCTCACCCAGCGTAATCCTTCCTCTGCCATTGTCCGTGGCAAAAGTCCCTCCAACTTCTCTGGCATTAGAAGTCTGGCTGGCCTCGCCAAATTTTCATCCTCCCTGCCTTTTCCTCTCTTTCCCACTTCATTCTGGTTTTCTGTGTGTTGTGAAATCTTGAGGATTTTGTTGCAATTCATCTTTTCCTCTTCCATTTGTCAACCTTTCCTTCCTTTACAGACTGGTTCTGAGCCATCCCCTCAAGGACGAGTGGAGGAAACTCCCGTGAGCAATGAGAGGGGTGACGAGCCGGCTCGTCATGTCTTCTCCTTCTCCTGGTTGAACTCACTGAATGAATGATGACTCACTCCGGCTGGCTTCTGGTGTGCTTCTCCTCGGAGGGACCGCGAGCGCAGGCAGCCTGGCTCTAATCAACAAAGAAACTGGCCTGGAAAGGGATATCCGAGCAGGTTTCATTCCCAGGAACTCAGCTGACCTCCACATCGTACCCGACCCTTGAGATGACAGTCCTGAGAGGGGTGGAAGCATGGGGACAAATTGCTATACTGTATTGTAGTCAGAGTGTTTTCCAATAATTTCTTGTTTCCAAGGGGAAGATAGCATCACTTACAGCTGTGGGCTGAGCACTGCTAGTGTTTTGTTTTTCACTTTTGGGCACGTCCCCGTGTAGGTGTAAATGCTCCACCAATGTTGTTAGCTAAAACGCTGGTATGATATTCTCTAGTAGCATCCTTTGCCAACACAGTGTTTCTCCTCAGTACCCTCCCGCCTCCCTGCTCGTCAGTGCTGTGACTTCAGTGACACTATCGTGCCCCTGCCAGCCCCAAGGTGGGGTTGTGTCTAACCACCTCCCTGCAGTCACTCTTAGTCCCCACGGTAGCAGTGCCTCCCCGGCTACGGAGGCTGAACATGGGAGAGGAGAGGGGAGCTGCCATTTCTGCCTTTGCACTTGCTCTCCCTGCTAAGCCACAACAGATGACACTCACGTAAACAGGTTATTTGTAGGGAAGGTGCCCAGCGACAGGGATGAGGGCGATGCACGTGCTAAAAGCACTGGCCACCTCCTGCGTATGGATGCAGGACACATCTCCGAGCCTGTGGGGCAGATGCTAGAGTGCTGCCCACACCTGCCCAGCTGTTATCTGTGTCTATGTCTTCTCTGTCATGTGCGTAGGAAAAGGGGAGTGTTCTTGCATGAGACCAGGATGCAGGGAGGTGGTCACAGGTATTCATGCAGGGTTTAATTTGAAGGCCCCACGGCCTGTAGAAAAGGCAAATGCCGAATATCCTGTTCCATGTGCATGGCAGATGTTGATCAGTCTAATGAAATCAAATTTGTGTCTTAAAAGAATCTGTACAAGTTGTACTGAAGGTGACACTCTGCAAGTTTTGTCACTGGGGACAGGGTGGCAGTGCTCAGTAGTGTTTAAGAGACATTGACAGGTTGCTGGGAGTGCTCGGCACCATGGCAGACCAGGCATCAAGCTCTGCGCTAGGGTTATGTGTGCATCTTTCCAGCAGCCCCAAGCCAGGCCCTAAACACACACCATTTTGGCAGGGGACAGTGTCGGGGTGTAGGGCTGCACTGTGCCCCAGCGGGACTGGTGAGCTGGCAGGGCAGATGCCAGGCAGCGCCTGGTTCGCAGGCTGTGAGGGGTCAGCCCCAGTCCCAGCCATCCCTCGCTACAGGGCTGAGGCTCCTCAGCCCTTGTTTGTATCCGTTTCCCTGGAAAACCTTCCTGCAAGAGGAATTTTGGAGGGCTGCGTAGGCCAGCTCTGTGCAGGGCTGAGACCCACACAAACCAGCCGCTCTGCACCACCACTGCCACAGCATCACCTCCGGCTGCTGGAGCAGCATTTTTCCCTGGGATGTGGTTTTGGGTGGGGGATTTCCTATTTTCTCCCACTTGTCCTGGCAGATTTTCCTCCGTTCCTCCCGGGAAGTTTCCCCACGGGCATCGCCACCTCCCCAGCGCCCCTGGCAGGGACCCGGTTTGGGCACCGCCGCTGGGACGGATTGGGGGGAAGGCGAAGCGGGGAGGAACTTGCCCTTTTGGGGTGCGCAGAGGATGAGCAGAGCTAGAAAGTAAACAGAAAAGAGATGCGGCAGCACCTCAGCCGTTTCCCATCGCTGCGTTCTGCCCAGAGGAGGCTCTGCCCGACCCCGGCCGCAGCGGCAGGAGCCGGGGAGCCCCCTCGGGGGGCTGCTGAGGTGGGAGTCGGCAGGGCTGGGGGCGACCGACCGGCACCGACCCCCGTCCCCCGTCCCCGGGAGCAGCCGGTGCCGAGGGCGGCGGCGTGGGGCAGCCCCGGCCCGGCGCCCGGGGGCGGCGGGACGGC